TTACATCTCCAACAGTAAATTTTTTCACCTCTGAAAATATCAGATGATTTCTCATAACTGAGCCCATTAAACAGTTAAACATAGGTCTCTGCTTCTGCTCAATTACATTCTTCCATTTCTGCAAAACCAAATTATTTGAAACACTGCTGTCTTAGAACACATTGCCCTATTTTTCAGTGCCATCTCTAGTTTCACACAAGTGATAGTGAGAAAAAAAAGAGGGTGGTGGGCTAGGAGGAGGAAGAGAGAATCACTAGCTATAGGCAAACTATTACAAATGCCAACTTTGGAATAAACCTTAAATGCACCTAACACCCTACCTCAGAGAAGAGGGTGAAAACCAACAGTCCATTCATGTTATACAACAAATTATTTAGAGCAAGACAGAAATGAGACTGTATCTAATGCATTTGTATGTAAAATAAGCTATGTGTCTCACTGGTGACTGACTGGGGAAAAAAAGAATAAGATTTTAGATCATCATAAAAAAGCTTCTGTTTACTGATAGCAAAAATAAATATGATTTAACATGATTGACAGATGCTGAAGAACACTATCCCATGTTCTGGAAAATGGAGGATGATAAAGCAAAGGAGTGCTACTAACACCACTGATACTCCAGGAAACCTAACGCCAGCGTGCTACTTCTTGATAGGCAAGGAGATTTAAAAAAAAAAAACACTACTGTGAGTGGGATTTAAATTTACTCACTACACAGAAATCTCCACCTTAGCTAGAACATTTTCAGGTGCTCCACGAGCTGTAAAAAAAGCTAAAAATTTCTCCCAGTACTCTCTAAATTATTTTGGTGCACAGAGAACAGGAACTTCCACATAGTGAACTTGACTGTACATGAATATCCTGTAGTCAGACTCAATTACTGTATATATTACAATTTCATTTATTTTCACCAAAAAACACTAGTAGCTACTATTGCACTTGCTCATGTGACTAGTCAGAGAATATTGGCAAGCAGGTCTGCAAGATGAAACTAGAAACTGGCAAAGACAGGATGGATGTAAGAAAATCTGATCAGAACTTTGGTTTTAGTCTAAGAAAGTGAATTTATTCAGAAGCGACTGGCTAAAGACAAACAGGTTTTAAAAGCCAATTAAAGTATGAAAGCCTGTCCTGAATAATAGGAAAGATCTTCAAAAAGCATCAGAGAAGTGCTAAATGGTATTTGATGCCAATATGCAGTGTGAAAAAGAAGCAGTAGCTTCTCTTCTCAAACTGTTGACACTGTCCTGAGTTAGTAATGCACAATAAGGTGCAATAAAAATGATTCTAAGCCTGAATTTTGACCAAGACTCACAAGAATTAAAATAAACTTCCCTTCAACAAGAAAATGACTTGACATATTCAGAAGCTTATTAGAGTATTACAGTATCACACTCCTGGCAGGGAGTGCCAGAGAATGACCAAAAAAGTGCCAGTCTGAAAGAAATGCAGATGCCACAACTTGGGCAAATCCCACAACTCAGACAGAAAGGTGGGGAAAAAAACATTTTTTAGCACTAGAGGTTCAATTTGGCCTTCACTATACAAGTGGTGCAATTACTGCAAGTGGTTGCAGAGCCAGTCCCATAACAAGTGGACCTTGCTGCTCCCAGCACAACAAACGAAACTCCCATTGAGACAACTCAACCAATGCAGGAAGAACTGCAAGGAGGGGGAACAAGAGTGAGGCAGTGGCAAAGAACTTCAGGCCTTATTCCCCCTGCTTATTGCACAAGAGGAAGAAGACTGAAAAGCCATTCAATTCTCAGAATGGGATACTGAACTAACCACCCCAAAGATAAGTAAATATTCTTTATCCCTGTGAAGTGATAACTTCTCCCGGAAAGCACAGGGAGCTTTAAAACAGGATCCCTGCAAGTTCACCTCAAAGCCGAATTAAGTGCACTGTATCCATTTGTCAAAACACATCTGTAAGAAGGTTTTTTTTTATTAATGTCGTTAAACATTTTGACAAGTCACCAAAGAACAGCTTTTTAAGAAAGAAAAGGCCAAAAAGAAGTGTTTCTCTTTGAACTTCCTTGTGACCTATCATTAAATTTGATTCAATGACAACTGCCAAAGGCCACTCTTGTGACTCCACAACAAACAGAATTAATCTTCAACTGAGTAAAGAGATGTGATAGTGCCTAGATGTCAGGAGTGCTTTTTCCTTACTTACACCAAACCTGCACCAGGTTGCCAATGCACAGGGTTATTTCCCTGGTTGATCAGGTAGGAGCGTGCAGAAGAGGTGACTCCCGAATGATACTTGGCTCCTCCAAGGATGCAGCCGCAGAGCCAAGACGGCTCAGAATAACCTCAAGCTGACACTGGTAGCTCACTCAAGGACTCAGGACAGACCCATCCTCAAACAAGTTTTCGGCACCTCTTACCAGTCAGCCCTCTGCACCCTGCAGTCCTCAGCAAGCATGTAACAGCTCTCAAGCTCTCTGTTGCGACTGTTTTGGTAAACGGCTTCTGAGCCAGGACTACTGGCCATGCCTGCACACATCTTTCCGTTCTTCACCCCCAAACTAGTGTTAATGGGCAACAAAAGGCCAACAAGTCCTGGCACTGACTGCAGCTAAAGGCTGCTTCTGCTCTAGATCAAGTGGAAAGAGAAAGCAAAGCACTGTACTGCTCAAGACAGTTATGTTTTGGTTCCCAACTGCAGGGGCCCATACACTACTACAGTCACCATTAGGAACAGGAGAGCTTATAGCAGAACTCTCTATGATGCAAAGGAAAATACCAAAATGTCTGCTTTTCAAATATTAATATTTTCCCCAAAAAAGCAACTAAAACAAATTAAAAATTAAATTAAACTAAACAGATAAACTGTTTTTCCCCCATGAACTACAAAGTATGCTTTGCTTTCAGTTTATAGCTATCTTCTTATTTCTTTGCCCCTAGCTATTTACATTTCCAGTTTGAAAGCATTTGGACCACCCTGAGATGACATCTATAGGTACATTTCCAGGGAAAAGTATCACTGTGGAATTCACATGGAAATGAAAAAGGCTGTGGAATATATATGTATTTAATCATTTTTTAGTGCTACAGTTTTTAAAAAAGCAAACTAGGAGGCCAAAATCCTGCTTGTTCCTCTCTTCCTCCTACATACCCTATGCATATAAGCACACACTTTCACATCCAGCACTTTGCCCCAATTGTCTCACATTCTAGACAATGACTTGAAGAGCTTCTTGTTCCTTTATCAACTACATAGCAAATATGGCAGCTTATGAAATCAAAAGGGGGATTAATAATGCAGTGCCTTCCGTGACAATGGTAGTACCCCATACAGTTCTCACTGTCATTATGTGAGTCACTCAATTCTCACCATTGCATACATCAGCAGATGGCAGGAAAAAAAAAAAAAGAGACACAATGCACATAGAGCTTCTGAAGGCTAATTTCATTTTTAGGAAATCTGTGCTAGTGCACAAAACAGTTTACAGAACAGTAAGTCTCTCCAACCTGTGTAAAGTCCTTTCACCCTCACAGAGGCCTTAGATGTTTCTCTGACAGGACTAGAGTCTGTTCAATGCAGCAAACAAACAAAAACAAACACACACACAAAATCAAAGCAAATCAAAATGACTACCCTAAAATACTCATCAGGAAGTCTCAAAAAAGGCAGTATGGTATAAGGACTGATAACAGGCAAATGTTGCCAACAGTATAAATACACACAAACATACTCCAAGCCATGACCTAACCCAGAAATACAAAGAATCATTACTCAGAAATTGCAGATGCAGGAACAAAAAGAAAATGCAGACACAGATCTACATTGAAAAAATGTAGATCTGAAAAAACTCCTCATAGGCCTGCTGAAAGTTGCTGTAACTACACAGCTTCAATGCAACACCAAAGATGACTTGTTTTTTTTCCCAGAGGAGTTCCATGCTTTTGAACACTGCAAAGTCCCCTCTCTGTCTTCATACTCCAACTCCACATGTGGATAGGTTTTTTTATATTCTAAGCCAGACACAAAAGAAATCCCTGTTCTTTCCAGGAAAAAAAAAAAGAAAAAAAAGGAAAAAAGGAAAAAAAAAAAAACATTTACAGGGTATAAGACTGGGTATACTGACTGGGATTTCTGTAAAAACAAATAAGATTTTAACTCGCAAAACTACGTTTGTTTTTTAAACGTTTTCAAGCACCATAATCTGCTTTCGACAGCTGCAATGAGCTGTAACAGTAAGAAACCAAACCCCAAGAGTGATCCTTTCTGTGCACCCACACAACTTCATTCACTCCACTCCCAACAACTAGCAAAAGCTCTAACTCACCCTGACCAAGAGCTAGCATGTGCCCTGCTCAGTTTTATCATGCTCACGAGCACTGCACTGGGTGAACCAAGCACACAGGCGAGTGAGAAAAGTTACTTCTGCACCCCACACATTTGTACTTCCAGCAGAGTCACCATGCAGTACCTTCGATGGAAAGACGACATTCCTTCCCCAGCTTACGCCAACTCGCGTGCAAACGGCCGAAGCACTTTTTGTGCTGTGCGCCTGAGATGCGCGTGGAAGAGCAGCACGCCAGCAGCACGCGGTGCCAAGAAGATAAGCGGAGCAGAACTGTAGGCCTCCTGCAGGCCACCCAAAATAAAGCGCCTTCGGGAACGTAACCACATGCCTTAAGAGTCACCACTGAAAGGAACGGCCCAGCGACACCCGAAGCGCGAGCACCGCCGCCGCCCACCTGTGGGCAGCCCCACCTTGCCCAGGACAGGGCGGCTGCGGCGCTGCGGGCCTCTCCGGCAGCTCCTCTCCCCTCCGCACGCTTCCCGAGCCAAGCTCGGACGGGCCGCAGGCGGTGCCGCAGGAGAGCGGCGCCCGCTTCGGGGCAGGCAGCCCCACGGCCGGGCACGGCGCCCCGTTTGGCAGCGAGGCGAGCGCGGCGCCCGGCCCGTCCCGCACGCAGGCCGCGGGCAGCCCGGCAGGCAGCGGGCCCGGAGGCGCGCGGGGCGGCTCCGTGCCGGCGCTCACCTTCCCGTCCGCGCCGAAGGGGAGCGGGTCTTCCGCCGCCGGCGGCAGCAGCGCCCGATCCCGCTGGGCCTCCGCCGCGCCGTGGGCTGCCGCGGCTCCCTGGGGCTGGTAGTCGGGGTAGGGGTTGGCGAAAGCCCGCTCCTCCATCTCCGCCTCGCCGCCCAGCTGCAGCTTCAGCCTCTTGGACATGCTCTCTCCCATCTCAGCCGGCCCCCGGCCCGCCTCCCCGCACGGCGAGCCGGCGGGGACACACTCCGCCTCGCGGAGCGGCGAATCGCGGCAGCGCCGGCGCCGCGGCCGGCACCGGCTCCCGGCTATGGCCGCCGCCCGGCAGGCGCGGGGTCGGACGGGCCGCGGCGGCCCCGAGGCGCTGGCAGGGGCGCGAGGAGCGGCCGCCGACGCATCGGGCCGCCTCGGGGCGGAAGAGCCGCCGCCCCCGAGCAGCAGCGACTCGACTTGGCGCGGCGAACGGGGGCCGCCTTTACCGCGGGCACCGCCTCGCCTCCCCGTCAGTCGGGGCGAGGGGGCGGCGAGCGCGGCGGCATCACAGCCGCAGGGGCAGAACGCGGCCGGGGTCGCGGCCGTGCCCCCCCGCGGGGAGAAGCGGCCCGCCAGCCCGCGGGGCTCCTCCGCGGAGCCCGCCCGAGCCCCTCATCCTCCTCCGCGGGGCGTCCGGCCCTTGGCTCGCGTCAGAGCAGCAGCAAGAGCGCGAGGGGTAAGGACAGCCCCAGGAACAGGCAGTACGCGAGGATCTCTTTCGCCCGACGCATCCGCGACCTCCGGCGGCCCGCGCTTATCCGGAGGCAGCAGAACCCCCTCGGCCGCCCCGGCTGGAGAGGGAAAGAGGCGGTGACGGCCCCAAAGCCCGCCCACCTGCCCTCGCAGTCCGCACTGAGCGGGGTGAGGCGGCGGCCGCCCCTTGCTGGCGGGAGAGGCGGCTGCAGGGGGAGGCGTGGGCAGGAAGATCCGACGTAGAAGCCTGTCCCAGCACCGGCTCACGGTTGTTGGTAGAGCTGGAAGTTGGTAACAGAGCACGTCCGTTATCCTGCGGCGTGGTATAAATATAAAGAAATACTTATTTTTAAAAATTGATCTGATGACTAAGCAAAAAATCTAAACAGCTTGTCACACCAGAGTTGAGTTCCAGAGCATGCTCTGGAAGTGAAAAAAACCGTCAACTCAAAAATTACACAACCATCTATGAAATAATGTGTTCTGTAATAACCTAAAAAAAATCACTATTTGTGTTTTTCTCTTTGAAGGAAGTCTTTTGTGCTGTGTTGCCGAGCCTGAAGTGTAAGCACAAAATCTTTTAAACAAATCTCATGTCTCCATGTAGACTTTTTGCTAGGAAAAGAGCATGTTTCTCTCTAAAATTGTCTCTTGCCCTCAGTTGGCAGACATGCAGTCCTGCAGCAAGCCGAACATCTTTCAGTTATGCAGGTGAAACTGCAATAAAAGTTTCACCAAGGTCTGACACCTGCATAACAGAAAACTAGACTAATCATTCTTTACACAGGAGGAATTCACAAACCTCTCTTTTTTACTTAATCTGTGCTTTCACTCCCTCTAATTCCCCGTGCATCCCACTGTGTCCAGTACCTTACTCCTGATGGGACTACTGCCAATTTTTAAAGTACTGAAATAAAGTATCTGTGACTTTTTGGGCCAGGACTGACCAACCATTATCCATGCATAAGCCATTTACGATGCGGTGGTTTCCCACATATTTTGCTGTTTCATCCCTAGTGTGCTTAGTAAATTATTTCAACTAACAAGGGGAGAAACGGCTGTATATCTCAGAGCCAGTCCTCCCAGGGCTGCTGCTCCTCTTGCTATGCCTCACGAGAGCTACATCATACTGCAACATCACGTGGCTTACATAATCTACAAGAGCAACCATCAGGAATCTCTGAATCATTAGCTGTGACACATTTAATGGTTCCTTCAACAACTCTGTTCATTCTTCTCACATTAGCTGTTAAGCTATCATTTGTTTATGTGTGTAGTGCTTCCAGACATGTGCAAGCAACAGCTCCATTTGTGTTTTGTTCAGCGGAAACCAGATGATGAGTATGTGACTGATAAAATACCTTGTAAATAGAGAAGAACCAGTGCATCAGCTTCATTAATCTCATTTTATTTCTCAGTGATGAGGTTCAGCTCATCTCTGGTATATGAATAAAAGAGGGCCAGGCTGGGCACTGCGTTCTTCAATTTATATGTGGAAAAACAAACCAAGGCCTCTTTTTATCTGCTCAACAAAACAGTGGTGATCGGGCAGTTTATACCTGCTGAAAATCCAGGATCATACCTTTACTTGCCATGAAAATTATAGTCTTTTATACTGACCTTTGCTTTCTCTTCAGTCTGCACTTTTGTCTATACTGCAGTCTCCATGTCTGTTTTGCAGAACCCCGTTTTCTGCTCTGACACTGCTACAGGCCTATAACAGCCTAAAGACTTCCTTATCATCTCTTCACCGTTACTGCTGCATTCCACTTAATTATATTTCCTAATTTCTTTTTTTTCTCCACCACTGTCTATCATATTCTGCAGTTAAATTACTTGAAGCGGTATAGGTCTAATAAACTCTGTTGGACTGCTTTTTGTAATGAATATGATGTTATGATATCAAATTTGCAGGATCAGGCTTTGTATGTTAATTGTAAAAGACTTCCAGACTTTGGATGAAATTCAGCCCTGTATTTCAATTCATCTTCAGGCAGAGTATAACTGTTCACAAGAACTAATGGTTCTGTGTGATATGCTATATCACACTTATTTCCCATAGCAACAATTTTTTGTGTCTGCTAACTGATCTCTATTATAGAATAACATTGCTGTTTAATATAGCAGAGATTTCTGTGTATCGGTTAAGACATTGTGCAACTCAAACACCAAATAAATACTTTAATAATAATTCCATATAGTTGTGGTTTTGTGCTTTTTTGTGTTGTTTTTCTATTTTTTCTGTTCTTTCCTCTTTTAGCAAAAACAAAATAAAAACAAACAAAAAAAAACCAGTGCCATCAAGTCTATTGCAATCCTGTTTTGATGAGTGCACACTAATAAATGATAAGCCAGAGCAGCAGTTTTTGCTTTTCAGGTTGTTTTTAAATCATGGATTTTGTCATAATCATACATTTAGGTTCCTTATCCCCTTAATCCTAGTGATCTTGATTTTTCACCTTGTGAGGAATACAATAATGAAATTATGCAAGGATGTCTGTAAATGTTCTCACTGGTCTTTACTGTCTATGATGAAAATTGAACCAGCTTACTGCTATTAGAATGTACCCTTAATAATCTTTGGCATATCATTGGATTTTCAAAGGAGATGATACTAACCCTGAGAAGGCTTGTAAGCCTAGCAAAAGAACATCCCAGTTAGTAAAAAAGCAACTTTCCAAAAGACAAGGAGAATAACAAACAGAGGTGAAATATGTATACTGTTAGGCTCCCTATGGCTGGCTTAACAATACATCTATTTCACCTTTGCTCCATACAAAGGAGCAACAAAAAACTGACAATTTCCTTTCTCTAAGGAAGCTGTTTCAATTTGGATTTTCAAATTTCTGACTGTATCCCTACTACAACCATTTTCTTATTTCTTCTGGTACCCTTTGTATGGCATAATGACAATGTGAATTAAAAAGTAGCCCCAGATATTATTTTGAGATAAGAATAAATGAAAGACCCAAGCCTGAGATTCACCAGAAGTAACAGGCTTGGTGCTATAATGCACAGGGTTCTCTCACTCCTGTTCGAGGGGAAGGTTCATGTTCTTCAAAATATGCTTCATGGCTTCGGATGCTGTCTTCAGTGGTTTTCATCCCATTAGGACGCAGAGGAATAATGAAGTGGATATTTTGGGGGAATAATCAGGAAAAACACAAGCACCTTCAAGCAAAGTGGCTCTATAACTTTTGTAGGCTGAGGAAGAATGGCAGCAGTACAAGAAGGGAAAAGAGAAGCAAGGGTAGACAATAGAATATATGGCAGACAAGACATGGAAAGAAAAGAAAAAAAAAACAGGACTAGTGGATGCCATGCTGCTCCTATTAAGGAGGTGAGTGCTGACATATTTGTCTAGATTTTAAATCAAGAATCATGTGTTTGGCAGCTATTTGCGTGCCCTCATGAAATCACTTTATCTGAAGATGTCTGGCTTGCCACAGCAGTGAAAGGGCTGAGAGGTCAATTATTTAACTAGAGACCTGTATCACAAAAGCAGAGTAGGTGAAAAGAGAGCCAAAGCTACTCAGATGTCTCAGCTGATCAACAGTTAATTGCTCCAGCTTGAGGAACTATGGCATTTGTAGAAGTGTATGAAGTCTCATTTTCTGCCATATGTTTCATTCTTCATACAAGCTGTGGAAAGGTTTTTTTTATGAGAGTATAATTTTCAGAATCCTGGATCAGAAAACAGTCAAAAAGGTGAAAAGGGAATCACATTCATGTGGAAAAGTTCCTTACACAGTCCTCATATAGAAAGGGAATCCATATGGATTCCAATTTATTGATTTATGTACAGTACATCTTCTTGTAGCCCTGAGGGGAGCAGCATGGGGAGTTGGTGTACTTTCACAGATGAACAGTGACACAACCCCCTTGTTATCACAGCCTCTTCCCACTCAGGGATTTAGGCTTACCTCACCCTTCAGGATGCACAGGTTGTGCCATTAGCCTCTCCATTCCTGAGATTTCGGCATCTCAGGGTTGGGAAGAGAGAGAGACATCAAAAGAGACAACTCTTTTTTTTTTTTTCTTCCTGTTACAAACTGAAATACATCAGATCCAGGCTAACAAAAAATGCATATTGCCAAATGTGCCTGGCAGATTTTATAATTTGAATTCTTCTTGTAGCCTGTGCATCTGATGTGCATCTCTGTTTTGTTAGAAACAGAGTTCCCAAAAGTTAAGGTGACTGGGATAGTGCAAAGGAAATTGCTGTAACAACAGTAAAATCCCTTTTGCTAGATAAGGACAAAAACAAAGAGCAAAGAAAGAGTAGCTTTTTGTTTTGTTTTGTTTTTCTTTTAGTAGGGTAAGGATAAGGTTAGAAGGATTAAGGAGATTAAGGTTAATCCAGGTCTAGTAAAAAGCAGAATTAAAACTAAATTAAAATTCTGTAACAGATTAGAGAATGTGGAAATGAAAGCAGTGTCATGGGAACAAGTGAAAGAGAACAAATGATTGTGTTCTGAGTTGGGCTGAACCAAAACTTATTTAATATCCAGTTTGACTGGGATAATAAAAACTGGCAAATGAAACTACAGTTTCCTCAGTTATATTTATTTGTGC